TACAAAATCTGCTTCTATATTTTCCTTTGCAGGTGTTTTTGATGCTGCCTCACTGTGCTCCCTCCCTTTTCTCCCAAAGCACACGAACTTGCTCACACACACACATGTGCCTGGGCAGTTAGATATAGAAAGGAGCACATACACTCAGAGCTGTAGAGTTTTAACACTGTGATGGGTCAGGGTGACTGCCAGGGTGGTGTTTCCATAACAAATGGTGATACCGCTGGTAAGGATGCTTTCAACGAGTCCTCTAATGATGACAAGCTGCAGAGGGGGGTCTCTTTTCCTGAAATCTAGAATGAGTTCTTTTGTTTTATCTATGTTGAGGAAAAGATCATTGTCCTCTCCATAGACAGTGATCTTGTGAACCAGGTCCCTGTATGATGACTCATTCCCTCCTTTGATCAGGCCAAGGATGGTCGTGTCATCCGCGTACTTAATGATGATGTTATTATCCTGTGTGAAGGCGCAGTCATATGTGTACAATGAAAAGAGGCTTCATGTTTCAGCTTATGAATGGTGTTTTGTGTTGTAATTGTTTGTTGCACATTTTAATGCTTTGACAGGAGTAGGGGGCGCCCACTTAGAGCACTGTGGCCCAAGGCCAGCCATTTTCACCATCATGATGGATGATAGCTTTCCGCTTTCCAGAGCCAAAATATAGAAAAACATCTCTGGTCCTTTCCTTAGTTTCAGATAGCCAAAGCTAAGCCCAGTGGTGGACAGTAACAAAGTAGTACACAAGGTATTTGTACTGAACTTGAGTATTTTTTTTTTCATGCCACTTTCTACTTCTACTCCACCACATCTCAAAGGGAAATACTGTACTTTTTACTTTATCGGACAGCTTCACTTACTAGTTACTTTAAAAATAAATTTTTTACACACAAAACGTATGAAGGGTTTAAAAAATAGAATGTTTTGATATAAATTACATTACTTAACAGTTTATACAAGTTCAGCTAGTAGAACTACATTTACATTTACTAATTTGGCAGACGCATATATCCAAAGCGACTTACATTTGAGGATCAACATACAAGCATCAACAGAGCATCAAATACAGATCTACAACTGACAATACATACTAGTAAGAGCAGCAATAAATACTAGTAAGAGCTCATAGTACATATCACATCAATGGGGTAGATACCTAGGGAATGAAGTAAGAGTTAACAAAAACTGCAATCAATACAAGATAATTGTAGGGGATAGAAGAAGAAGAGCACAGGAAGTGCATGAATGGTAGCTCGTTCGACCATCGTGGTGTCACAGATGAGTATAGCCAGGACTGGGATTGCTTTGTGTGAAGGGATGGCAATTGGATTCTGGAGGCCACGGGGAGCCAGTGGAGGTCACTAAGTAATGGAGTGACATGAGTCCTTTTTCAATTCAATTCAAAAGAGCAGGTCTAGACCATACTCTATGATGCTATTTACAGAAGCCCAACAGTTCCCACCAAGAGCAAGCACTAGGCGACAGAGGCAAGGAAAAACTTCCTTTAAAGAGGCAGAAACCTCGAGCAGAACCATGGCTCAGTGTGGGCGGCCATCTGCCTCGACCGGTTGGGGGTGAAGGAGAGAGAGAGGGTGAGAGAGAGAGCGAGAGAGAGAGAGAGAATCAGAGAGAGAGGGAGAGTGCAAGAGAGGAACAGAGAGAAAAAGAGAGGGATGGAAGAGAGAAAGGGGCGGGAGGCAGCCTACACAATATACACACACAGAGGTACAGACAGTAAAGGTGATGTTGCTATAGACTAAATGAAAAATGGTATAGATATTTATAGTAGTGTTAATGATAACAATCGTAATGTTAATGATTATAATAACAATAATAATATTAAAGCTGCAAGCAGCGTTGGGCAGGCCCTCGCACTTGTAGCGTGTCCGGGTGTGAGCTGGCCGCGTTGCACATTCTGGAGCTCTGCCAGTTCGGCTGTGAATTTGCTACGCGGTTCCGACGCCGCATGAAGGTGTTATATGTCACTTCCTGTGTCCCCTATGTGGAGCTACATAGCACTTGCCGCTATGAATATAAATCGGTATTGGTGTGTAGATGTCTGCGGGGTGGGAGAGTTATCAAGCACGTAAAGTTTGGTTCAGATGTGAGCATGTACACTGAACAATAATGTACCCAAACAATAAAATAAATTCCTTTTATATTTCCCTGCCTTGTTGTTTATGTGTACATACAGAGGAAGAATGTGAGAACAGCACACATTTCATCGTTACTGTGTGTTAGAGCATGGGAGAACAGTGGATACTTTTAATACAGCCCACACCCCTAATACTGTGTAACTATAACAAGTAGAGAACAGAAGAAAAAGATGTTCTTTCTTTACAACTGTCTGCATAGCTTATTCATATTTTGTGTAATGAATGAAAATAAATAGGCCTACTAGGCTCCTCTCTACTTTGACATTTAAGATTAGCTTGTTTGATCCACCTTCATACACATGTGACATTACTGTACAACTTGAGAAAGGTGAGTTGTTTTCTGCTCCAGCCTGCCTAAAAGAAAAGCGTTTTTGGGATTAAATGGACTTTATTAGCTGCTGCAGTGCAGGATGAACTCAGAATAGACCCATTTCTCACCTTATTATTCTAAATCATGCAACAAAGAAGAAGAAATCCTGGGACAAAATCTGTCCACAAATACTGTACAGCATGTAGTCTGATGATCAAGACTTGTGTTATAGCTGACTTGGGCAGTGAAATGTTTTTTTAATTCATGTGGTCATAGTTGTCCACAACTCAAATCAGAATATAAGAAGAAATGTTTTATACCACCTCAAGAAGGCTTCCTATCAGAAAGGTAGGAAGGTATTTCAAATGTACAACTGCAGTACTTAAATCTAAGTAAAGTAATTTCCCTGACATTTTTGTGTTACTTTACTTTTAATAGACGCATGTAACAGGTTTTATACTTCCTGTGAGTATAATCCAATCAATCTTATTTTCATACTGTATATCCGTTGTGTAATTTGATAAATTGTGTTTGTATGTCGTGCTCGCATCGCATCTCAGAGAAGACTCTGACTGCAACATGCGTCTTTGTAAATAGAGAAAAAGACAGAAAAAGTCTCTAACTCTGCCTGTCAGCTCGCTCTGCTCCGTTAAAACTGAATTTACCATACAGAATTGAATACGAGTGCACTCCAGATTTAGCTGTAGCTAGCTGACAGTGTGCTTCTCCCTATACCACAGTTCTGTGTCCATGCATGCAGCAAACTGAAAGCACTGTCTGTCGGAGCGTCTACGTGAAAAGAGAAGGAAGACTTGGCTGGTAGTGTCTTCAGAGTTGTTAAACACCTCAGCGCACTGAAGGAAGCCATCTGACTGTGTGAGGGGCAAGATCGTTGATGTCTGCAGGCAGAGTAGGAGCTCTCCTGTCTGACTGGTCCACCAATAGCAGAGAAGATGACCCCTTGAGACACAGCCCCTCCTCATTTGCATAATGAGGCAGAAATGCATACAGAAATTTAAAAAGGACAGGAAGAAATAAAAGAGAAAGAAAATAAATAAGGTAAATAAATACAAAGGAAGAATAAAACAGACAAAATATTAAAACACACATAAATAAATACATTTAAAAAATTAAAGCTGCAAGCAGCGTTGGGCGGGCCCTCGCACTTGTAGCGCGTCCGCGCCTGAGCCGGCCGAGTTGCATATTCTGGAGCTCTGCCGGTGCGGCTGTGAATTTCCTACGCGGTTCTGACGCCGCATGAAGGTGTTATATGTCACTTCCTGTGTCCCCTATGTGGAGCAACATAGCACTTGCTGCTATGAATATAAATCGGTATTGGCGTGTAGATGTCTTCGGGGTGGGACAGTTATCAAGCACGTAAAGTTTGGTTCAGATGTGAGCATGTACACTGAAGTTACAACAACTTCCTGTGTCATGGGGAAGAGTTGATCTTTGACGCCGCGCCGGACACACCCATTGACGAAAACTCGCAAATAGCACAACTTTTCATCTTCAATGCCTTTAGAAGGCACAGCAGAAATTTGAAGTCGGTTGGACTAAATCCCTAGGAGGAGTTCGTTAAAGTACGGAGTGTGTAAATCATCCAAAAATGGCCGTAAAATTCAAAATGGCTGACTTCCTGTTGGGTTTAGGCTATGGCTCCAAGATACTTTTTTGTGCGTCTGGACAAGATACACGCACCACAGAAAATTCGTGCACGTAGGTGAAACGTGTGGCGGGGGCTGCTTAGTTAAAGGTCACTTCCTGTTGCCAGCAGGTGGCGCTATGACTGTGGGTGAATGTCGGCATGTACATGTGTTCAGGGCGGGACTCTCATCCTACATGTACAGTTTGGTCCAGATGTGAGCATGTACACTGAAGTTACAACAACTTCCTGTTTCATGGCGAATCATGGACGCCACAGACACGCCCATTATATATATATATATATAAATAATCTTTACAAATTCAATAGGGACCTCGCACGATCGTGCTCGGGCCATAAATAATCTTTACAAATACAATAGGGACCTCGCACGGTCATGCTCGGGCCCTAATAATCTTTACAAATTCAATAGGGACCTCGCACGGTCGTGCTCGGAACCTAATAATACTAATAGGACAGAATAAACTAAAATGACTGAAATGACTAAAGCTACACTAAAGTACTTTTGAATTTCTTTTGACTAACATCAGACTAAAACACCCAGACTTTTAGTCAACTAAAACTTGATTAAATAAATAGTATACAGTTGACTAACTAGGACAAAAACTGACAAGGACATTTGACACAGGACTAAGACAAAGACTAAGACTAAATTTTAAAATGGCTGACAAAATTAACACTACCCAGCAGACCAAAGGTTTAAAGACTCTTGACATGTTCAGGAGCCCTAACACCAGATAAGGGATAAGTATTCAATGTTTTTGAATGGCTAATGACATCACTCAGGTAATTAACCGTTTACCTGAGAATCCCGTGTGTACATTACAGGGTTTCAGTGTACGCCTGCTCTGGTTAATGTTTACCTCACACACTGACAACGTCAAATCACAAAGGTTAAAGGACTCATTTTTTTCTGACAGTCACAGCGGTGAGAGAGGAGGAGGACATCAGGGATTACCATGGCGGCCATCACAGAGTTCCAGAGTAAGTCTTCCCACAGTTGCTCTCTTCTGAGGTGTCAGTCTAAGTCATGGAGCACAGATCAGTGGCCTGACTTCACAATACATGGATGTGCTTGTGGAAGGAATGCATTTTAAGGTAAAGACTACAAGATTAATAAGCAAGGGTAGCATTTCATGTGGTAAATTCACTTTGAGTTTAACCAGTTATTAAAGAGTGCCACAGAGGAACTGTGTTGAATGAAAGAGAATCAGAATCAGAAGGAGCTTTACTGCCAAGTACTGTTTTACACATACGAGGAATTTGCTTTGGTGATAAGGTGCTACACGTAGACAAACATACAGTTGACATAAATAAATGTAGAAATATAAATATGGAATAGACAATGCAAGTTATATAAGAATATTAAAAAGAATAGAGAAAAATAAGTGCTGGTATGTTCTAATCAATGTTCTTTACACTTGTCCTGATTCTTCAGTACTGACTGTATTGATTCCTAAGTGTTGTAAAAAAGGATTACAACTATGTCTACCCACAATGCCCTCCCTTAAGCACTGAATCAGCCAATAGCAGGCCTTTCTCTACAGATTTCTTCAGAGAATGTTTCTATAATTAATGAGACACTGATGTCGTCTGTATTCAGTTAAGCAGGTTCAGTACAGTTAAAACACTAGACCCCAGCATGTTTAAAATCCTGGAGTTGATTGAAGTGCTGTTTTACTGGGAAATATAATGAATGACACTGTCTTATGGTTTCCTCAGTAGATAGACTATGGATTGCAAAAACATTACATCTAATCCAATCCAATGAAAAGACCAAAGACAACACTGGATGTATTTACTAACAAGTAACTAGCAAGTCCTTTTTGCTAGCTTCAAGTTAGGACAACTCTACACCCTCTGATATCAAAGTGTGAGACATGTTTTAATCCCTGTGGCTAAAAGGCACATTGATTGACTGAAAACGGCATTATTATATAGAAAATGTATTTGAACTGTTTATATTGACCAATTGATCTGTAATTGTTTTACTGTGTATCTTCCAGAGATGGGTACTGGTCTGGTCGGATTCGGTTTATTTTTCCTGCTTATTGGTGTGCTGCTGTACTTTGACTCTGTCTTGTTGGCCTTTGGGAATGTGAGTAAACACACATCTGCTCTGTGTCACCATCACACCTTCTCTTGTCTCATATCAACACTCACAACCATTGAGACAATTTTCATGGTCATTATGAATGACGTCTTTCACATTACACATAGGCCGTTGATCAAAGTAAAGTATTCGTTAGAGCAGCTTTAATCTTTGGTCATGTGGCTTACAGGTAGGCATAGTGTGAGAATGTTTTGTTTGATTGCCCTTTTTGCAGATCCTGTTTCTGTTGGGTTTGACATTCATCATCGGCTTCAGAAGGACAGCCCAATTCTTCTTCCAAAGAAACAAGTTTCGAGGTTCTTTCTTCTTTCTTGGAGGCGTGTCTCTGGTGTTGTGCCGTTGGCCAATCATTGGAATGTTGGTGGAGAGTTACGGCTTTGTGCTTTTATTCAGGTAAGTCCAGCTAGATATTTGTGAGAAAAGGGCTTCTAATGAGTCTGTCTCAAAAAATAATAATAATAATAATAATAATAATAATAATAATAATAATAATGATAATAATAATAACTAGAACTGCAAGCAGTTGTAAGCGGTGTCCAAGCCTCCCGGCGCGAGCTGCCCCCCCGGCCCCGCCGTCGTGCCGCATAAGGTCCCCACATTTGGTGTTGATGGGCCGTACCAAACAGAGGCAATTGTCCTTTGCCTTTGAAAATGCCATAGGAATGAATGGGATTTAGTGAGAGATTTGAGCTTCGCTTTTAGCGCCATCTGTTGGCTGAATTGCACCAAAATTGTCATGTGGTTGTGGAGATCTAAAATGCATGTATGTCTATGGGATTTTAATAGCGCCAACTAGGGGCTAACTGTACCAAATTTTGCACAGTCCCTCAGAGGGGCATGCCACATAAGGTCCTCAAGTTTTGTGTTGATCGGCCTTTCCATGCCTGAGATATGTCATACTTGCTGTTTTTAGCGTTTTCGCAAATATTTGTTAGCTTGTAATTGGGACATTTTTTGTCGGATTAAAATTACCCCTACAAACTTTCTTCAGCTCAGTCCAGAGATGGTCCGTGCCAAGTTTTGTGTCGATCGGAATTGCTGGTTCGGAGGAGTTAATTAAAATAGGTTTTCGCAATTTCGCAAAATGAAAACGCCATCACACAGAGGCGTGTCCTATACCATTGGAATCAGCAGCATCCCCCAAACACGTAGATGTAAGGTTTATCAATGTGCAATGTAGTGAGCCGTAGTTATCCTGCAAAATGTCCTTTGTTTGAAAATCCCATTGAAATGAATGGGGTTTTTGTGGTTCGATTATAGCGCCACCATTTGGCCGAATTGAACAAAATTTTTCAGGTGTCATCAGGGCCCCATGGGGAACAATTGACCCAAATTCGGTGTCAATCGGACTTGTGGTAATGGAGATATAAAATGCATGTTAGACAATGGGATTTTTTTCACGTTTTTAATATGCAATAACAGCGCCACCTATGGGCATATGTGGCTCGATCCCCCAAACGCGTGGATATAAGGTTTTTGATATCCGCCTCCGTATGCGGGAGTTACAGCGATTTGAAAGTGCCAAACTTTGGACTTTGCTTGTAGCGCCCCCTAGAAGTGAAGGTAGAAGCGTGCAAAATTTTTTGCCTGCCGTCGTCTCATGGGGAACAATTGCCCCAAATGTGTCTGTAGCACTTACCGTCTAGGCCGCAGTATTGGAATTAGGCGAAAACCTATGGAATAAAAATAATAAAAATCCTAACGATTACAATATTGTACTGCTTCAGGCTTGGACGCCTAATAATAATTGAAGCTGCAAGCAGCGTTGGGCGGGCCCTCGCACTGAGTTGATCTTTGATGCCATGCCACGGACACGCCCATCGACAAAAACTCACAGACAGCACAACTTTTCATCATCAGTGCCTTTAGAATGCAAAGCAGAAAATTTAAGTCAATCCAATTAATTCCCTAGGAGGAGTTAGTTAAAATAGGGACATTGTAAAAGGACATAAATTGGCTGTAATTGCACCTTCAAACCAGTTTTGAAGCATGTGAGGCAAATATGTTGGGAGCAGTACATAACAGCGTAAAACTTGACACTTCCTGTTGCCAGCAGGTGGCGCTATGACATTGTGTGTTTGTTGGCATATGGATGTGTTCAGGGTGGGCCTGTCATCCTACATGTACAGTTTGGTGCAGACAACTTCCTGTTTCATCGATTTTGGACGCTACGCCACAGACACGCCCATTGACAAAAACTCACAGATAGCACAACTTCTCATCGTCAATGCCTTTAAAAGGCACAGCAGATATTTGAAGTCGATTGGACTAAAGCTTGATTAATACTCCTGCGTAGGGTCTACGTGTGTAGCTACACCGTAGGCTACGCACATAGCCAGGCATTTATACTTGTGCGTCCGTCAGACTGCAATTATACACCCAAACGCTAATCTGCAGTAGCGGTACAGTGTCCACTGTATTGACTTTGCCGGCCGAGCAGGTTAACTTCCGGTTTAGCTCTCCGCTAACGTGAATGGGGATAAAATTGTAAACGTGCGGCTGGT